TTTCCCTTGCACAATATTCTTTCAATTCCACCATGAGGTAGGCTGAACCACCCTAAAATGCAGGTCCAGAAAATGAGGCTGGTAGAGAGGCAGACTTGTTCAAAGCACAGAACCAGTGGAAACTGCAGCTGGCTCTAATTTTAGGTCCATCCATTCCTAGTAACCATGCATTCTTATAATGAAATGGATTAGACATTTAGGGGGGGAGGAAGAGGCTTAGGAAACAGCTTATGTGCTTTACCTTTACTTTTTTTTTTTTTAATTTTTGAATTTTATTTTATTTATGTTTTTTACAGCAGGTTCTTATTAATCATCAATTTTATAAACATCAGTGTATGCATGTCAATCCCAATAGTCCAATTCATCCCATCACCACACCCCCTGCCGCTTCCCCCCCTTGGTGTCCATACATTTGTTCTCTACATCTGTGTCTCGATTTCTGCCCTGCAAACGGGTTCATCTGTACCTTTTTTCTAGGTTCCACATATATGCGTTAATATATGATATTTGTTTTTCTCTTTCTGACTTACTTCACTCTGTATGACAGTCTCTAGGTCCATCCACGTCTCTACAAATGACCCAATTTCATTCCTTTTTATGGCTGAGTGATATTCCATTGTATATATGTACCACATCTTCTTTATCCGTTCGTCTGTTCATGGGCATTTAGGTTGCTTCCATGACCTGGCTATTGTAAATAGTGTTGCAGTGAACATTGGGGTGCGTGTGTCTTTTTGAATTATGTTTTTTTCTGTGTATATGCTGGGTCATATGGTAGTGTTTTTCTCTTTCTGACTTACTTCACTCTGTATGACAGTCTCTAGATCCATCCACATCTCTACAGATGACCCAATTTCGTTCCTTATTATGGCTGAGTAATATTCCATTGTATATATGTACCACATCTTCTTTATCCATTTGTCTGTCGATGGGCATTTACATTGTTTCCATGTCCTGGCTATTGTAAATAGTGCTGCAATGAACATTGGGGTGCGTGTGTCTTTTTGAATTATGTTTTTTTCTGGGTACATGCCCAGCAGTGGGATTGCTGGGTCATATGGTAATTCTATTTTTAGTTTTTTAAGGAGCCCCCATACTGTTCTCCATAGTGGCTGTATCAATTTACATTCCCACCAACAGTTTATGTGCTTTTCTTGATGAACTGCTATGACACGTAATAGTGTTATTATAATAGTGTACTGGTGATGGAATTATGAGCCCCAGCATTACACTGGGCTGTGACTGAAAGGAGGTTTGGAGATTCTGGTGAGATATTGTGCTTTGTTGTCCTTTCACTGAAAGGTCTGGTTTCCCATAATGCTCTTTGAGTTCTGATGTAAGGCTTCAATGTTTGTCTCAGTCACAAATGGTAGTGAGCTTGCAACTAGGGAAGGTCATGACCTTTCTTCTACTTGTTGTTTACAAAGTGCTTTTTAAGGGAGTATTGGATTTTTACGACTAGTAGACAGTGAAGCAAGAGTAAACTGGCATTGGGAAAGGCCTCCTCACTTTGGTATGAACTTTGCTTTATGTCCCTCACTGATTTTTCTGACTTACTTCAGATGTCCAGCCAGACTGCCAAGTAGCAGAAGGTGGTAGCAAGTAATTGCCCAGTAAGTAAGGGGTCCCTCAAGGAGGATGGGCAGCCATACCTGGGTTCTCGGTGTGGGGTGCAGGGGCGATTTAGAGGCAGGCGAGGCTGGGTTGGAATCTGGGCTCTGTCCTTGCTGTCTGGGTAAGCTGGCAGTTCCTTCTTTGGTGACTCAGTGTTCACACCTGAGTGATGACATGGTCACACCTTTCCTGCGAGAATATTCTAAGGAGCACGTGAAAAAATGGAATATAGGGGACTGAGCATGGCGCCTGACGTCTGATGTGTGTCTGAGGGACGCGGCTTCCCTGCTTCCCTCGATGCCTCTGCACCTGCCCTGGGTGCACTGGCAGGGTGTTTGCTGAGGTCGGGCCCAGGGGTCCAGCCCGCATCCCTAGTCCCGGTGCAGAAGAGATACCCCGCAAATATTTGTTGAGTGAATACAACCCCTGATTTGGTCGTTGCTATGGCTACACGGCAAATATACAAAAAACCGCATTGGAACAATTTTCTTGATTTGCCCTTTTTTTTTTTTTTTAATGCCTCACTGCTCCTTCAGCCTTAGGGAAGTAAAGATGTTTACAGATATTTCTCTGTTTTTTTTTTTTTTTCTTTTTTTCAGTGCCTGAAACAGTATGTGGAACTCTTGATCAAAGAAGGATTAGAAACTGCAATTAGCTGCCCTGATGCTGCCTGCCCCAAACAGGGCCACCTACAGGAGAACGAGGCACGTTCAGCTGGGAAAACTGGGGTGCACGAGCACGGGCTCCTCAGCGGATCGGGGGTTATGGGTTCTGTCTAGGCTGACCTGGCATTGTAGTCTAGCCCTCAGATTGTTATACTCCTTTTTCTTTTTTCCCTTAGATTGAGTGTATGGTTGCAGCTGAAATCATGCAAAAATACAAAAAGCTACAATTTGAAAGAGGTAGGTGCCCCAGTGTCTTAGCCAGTTATGATTCCTGTGACAGAATCTGGGTAACTTGGGGGAGTGCTTTTGGTGATTGTGATTATATATCATTTTGCTACAGCAGAAGTGAAAACATTGATGTAAATTAGACTTCTAAAGTTCGGCTGTCATTTGAATTCTCTGCAGAGCTCACAGTTGGAAGGCCTCTGTTGGGGATCTAGTTAGGAACAGGAAAGATTCGTGAAACACAGCTTGCTTCTAGGGGTTTGGGATTTTGGGGGTAGTTTAAAGAGACCCTCGTGGGGCATTATTCTCCAGCCAGGTTAAGGCCTAACAGTCTGAGAACTAATTCTTAGACCTCCGGAGAATTTAAAAGATACAAAGGCCTGGAAGCAAGTCCCGAGGTCAGGCAGGGTGGAATCGTGGCACTCGCCATCCTGACCGCACGCATGTCTATCGCCTTCACAGGCTGCCTCGTGCACACTGGGACCAGTGGGTGCTGAGTCCTTAGTTCATCAAGTCTCCCAACAGCCCGACAAGGTTGTCTGTTAACCTGACACCCACAGAGGCTAACTGACGCGCCCTGATTTCCATCTCTGGTGGGTAGTGGGGTGGGGTGTGGACCAGGTGCCCCGCAGTGCCCTGCCCAGCCCTGCTGGCTGGAGCCGGGCCGCTCCAGAGTTCATACACGCTGAGCGTCTGGGATGGGTCTTTCTCTTTGCTGTCTGAAATACTTCAGGATCATAACATGGTATTTTAAAGAGTCTGTGGATTCTGTTTGGCCTCGTTTTCATATGTATTCTGGACCTTGGGCTATTCTGGAAAGGAGCAGAGTAAGACATGGTTAGAAGGTGCTCTGTATGTAAAACTTTATTGTGAAGATGCTGCATCCGAATTGTAAGATTTTCAGCTCAGTTTGTGAGCACTGAAGTTTGCTCCCCACTCTTCCTGGACTGGTTCTCAGTCCTTGCCTGGATCAGGCATTTATGAGAGATGAAGCCCTGGGTGGCGTGTTTACAGGAAAACACCATCAGGATGGGAATGGAATGCGGAATAGACTAGAGGAAAGTGTCCAGAGACTCTTAGTTTAGCTGAATGTGGAAAGTTTTCTTTTTTTTTTTTTTAAAGAACTGCTAAAGATAGCTGCATTTCCTCTTGAGACTCACTTCTCAAGAAAAAAAAAAAAAAAAAGGTAATGTGTGGCCAATCTAAAAAAAATCAAACAGGATTTTTGATGGCATTGAAATTTGTTTTCAAGAGTTTCTTTATTTAAATGCCATATATTGTTTGGTTTGGGGCAGTTTACAGATTAAATATAATGCCATGTGATACAAAAGTCATTATGTGGAGCAATAAAATTAATTTGGATTTCTGAGACTTTGAGCATCTTCTGAAAACATTTTCCAGTGGGAATCTTGACAGAAACTGGCAGTTATTTGGGTTACAAGAAAATGAACTTTCTATGACATTGAATTTAAAAATGCAGCTGGGTAAATATTCCTACATAATAATTTTAACTGTGTTATTTCTTCCGAACTTTAGCTTAGTCAAAGATTTTTTTTTTTCCTTTTCATAATAATGAACCCAACTTGACTTAGGTTAAAAAAATATCTCTCAAACCCATCACTTTAAAACGTTTTTTCTAGCATTACGTTCAAAGCAGCAAAAAACACAAAAAGGACTCGGACTTAATAGGACCAGAGACCGGTTTGAATGAAATGTTAAAATGTTAGGGCTAATAAAATACAGCTCTTGATTATAGCTGGTCACTGAGCAAATTCTGAGACAGGATCAATGAGCAAGTTTCAGTGTACACCCTCCCTTTGAAATTCATTTTCAAATGAGGATGGTGACTGGATTAAAACTGACAGTTGCCATGATTTTCTGACAACTTTTAGTTACTAAAAAGTCCTATGGTTAAAGTTTCAAACACTGTCTCCTTGTGAACTTTGCATGTCTCATCTTATATCAGAGCCTTGATTTCAATCTGAGTTTCCCCACTCCTCCAGCCAGGTCCTTGGGAAGCAGGAAGCCAGGAGGGAGGCTGTGAGGTGCTTTCTGAGCACCTACTCTCCCAACTGGAAGACCCCCAAGGCTGGGAACAAACAAGCTTCCAGGGAAGGTCCATCGCCCTTGCCTGCATGCCCCACTGGACTACACACGAGCTCCTATTTGGGCACCGGCCACACCACGCTGCAGGCATTTGTTTATATATCCAGGACAGTGAGAATGGGCCAGTATGAGTGGGGATGCTGGGACCTTCACAGTGTGCTTCTCAAAGGACAGTAGTGTTTAAGAAAGAAAAACATCTTTATGTGGCACATATATACAATGGAATATTACTCAGCCATAAAAAGAAACAAAATTGAGTTATTTGTAGTGAGGTGGATGGACCTAGAGTCTGTCATACAGAGTGAAGTAAGTCAGAAAGAGAAAAACAAATACTGTATGCTAACACATATATATGGAATCTAAAAAAAAAAAATGGTTCTGAAGAACTTAGGGACAGGACAGGAATAAAGACGCAGACGCAGAGAATGGACTTGAGGACATGGGGAGGGGGAAGGGTAAGCTGGGAGGAAGTGAGAGAGTGGCATGGACATATATACACTACCAAATGTAAAATAGATAGCTAGTGGGAAGCAGCCGCATAGCATAGGGAGATCAGCTCAGTGCTTTGTGACCACCTAGAGGGGTGGGATAGGGAGGGTGGGAGGGAGATGCAAGAGGGAGGAGATATGGGGATATATGTATATGTATAGCTGATTCACTTTGTTATACAGCAGAAACTAACACACCATTGTAAAGCAATTATACTCCAATAAAGATGTTAAAAACAAAAAAGGAAAGAAAAACATCTTTTAAAAGAGTTGCGCTTTTTGATGAGTAGAGCTATTAGGAAATGCTTCATTAATCTATTATGAATATACCTTTGGGAGATAGGAGTTAAGATGAGTTTCTTCTAGTGTGCCAGAAAATACACTGCTTAAAAATAAAAAAAAAAGAAAATACACTGCTTGCCTTGTGTGAAAATATATACAATATGTATATATATATATATTAGATACAATATTTATAATAGTTATAATATATCATATGATATAATGTATCTAATGTATAGGATAAGATACATATATAATACATAGATAGATAGACAGACATAGATATGTATGTTTATACACATCCTGGAAAGAAAACCTCTGCTGTTACCCAGTGTGGATTTTCCTGTTGATTGCACCCCATCTTGTACATCCAGCAGGCAGACTCCACCAGCAGGGTGATGATGTAGAATTCTAATAGACGTCTGAGAGAGGAGCCCAGGCTGTGCCCACAGGGGCATGTGTGCCGGCAGCTCGACGGAAGGGTGTTCTGAGCTAGCAGGTCTATGGGGCAGTGTTTGCCCTCTACATCTAGCACAGGGAGTCTCTTCCATAGGGATGGGCGGTGCCATAAGGACACAGGTCGCACAGTTGAAGTCGTTACCATGGAAACCCTAACTGGGTCTCCTCTGCTGTGCTCTGCATGATATAATTGGGCCTTTCATGAAAAGCTCCCCCCCGCCCCCCGCCGGCAGCCACGCGTGCCATCTAAGAGGAGTGGACGGAAGATGGTGATGGCGCTGGGCCGTGAGATGCAGGCAGAGATTCTGCTGGTCCCCTCCTGATGTCACAGGCTCCTCAGAGCAGAAGCGGGGAGCAGTGGGAACTGGAAGGGTCTAAACTGGACAGTGTTGTCCCTTTAGGGGCAACAGCACTAAACACCTTGTCAAGTTGGCAGGGAAACAGACCCCGCTGAGGACGTACCTGCCCGTGTCCTGCTGTCGGCAGGCCGAGCGCGCACATCCCGCAGCACTGCCCTCGGGGGCCAGGCACATAGGGGCCCCGTGATGTAGGTGCGGCAAACCCAGGTTCACCCACCAGCACACCAGTACTGGAGGCAGAGCTCTTAGAGAAATTCCAGATGACGGAGGGGGAGGGCCGCCTGCTAAAAGGCACAGGACCCTGGGGCAGCGGCCTTTGGTGTTTCCCCCGGTGCCCCAGGCCGCCTCTGCATCCTTCCCTCTGCCTTCCTCCTGCCTCCTCAGCCCAGGGGCCTGCAGGCCGCTGCCCCACACACGTGCGTTTTCCCAGAAAGCCACTGCCTCGGATCGGACAGCCAGAGACAGTCTTAGAAAAGCCAACACTCTCAGCTCATCATGACAAGAGCGAATTTTACTCCTTCACTCACTATTAGGCACATCAGGAAGATTTCACCTTATTATAAAGAAAAACAATGAAAAAGTATAACATTTTCCTGAATGCAGGTGTTCCTTTGTATTAGCTAGTCTTCTAAAGCTTCTGCCAGACCTACCAACTTGATACTTTCGTGGTGTTGATTAATTCACCTTTTAAAAAAAGTTAGATTAGGTTAGCAGTCGGCCAGCCATGGTCAGTGGGCCAAATTAGTACGGCCCCTGGCTTGGGGTTATAAATCAAGTTTTATTGGAACACTCATTTACGGATCAACACAGATGCCTTTGTGCTACCACAGCAGAGCTGAGTAGTTGGATGGAGACCTCATGGCCCTCAAAGACTGAAATACTTACTGTTAGCCCCCGGATTGGATGGTGAGATGGGTTTTAGTCCAGTTGTACCTGACGGGAGCTCATTCATGGCGGGCTGAATCCACATTTGATTGGGGAGAATGGCAAACACACGGGTGGCCTGTTGAGGTGAGGCCTGGGCGCCTGCAGCTCATGACAGCCCCAGCCTGTTGGAGGTCCCAGTGCCTACAAATCCTGTCTCTGATGTGGGTGAACCCTCCCACCCTGGCCATCACTGGTCACGTGGCCGAGAAGCCTGCAAGTGCCTTTCACTGCTTCCAAGTTCCCAGCACAATGCAGTCCATTCCTTCTCAAGAGCGACCCTCAGTGGCTGACTTGGAGGCCTTTGAACACACCCTGGAATCCTTTGGCCTCCCTCGCGGCGTTTTGGCCTTGCATCAGCATCCGTGTGGGTTCCTGCCCAGCTCTCCCTCCCGCTGGCCTGCATTGAGAGTCCAGTCACACTGGACAAAGGGTCCAAGGAACCAGGAACCAGGCTCACGTGAAGGACAGCTTGGGACCGTTATTTAAAGAAATGCGAGATATGAAAGCAGATGTGAAGGAATGGGAGGGTTGTGGTGTTCTGTTTTTCAAATCAACTTCCTGACTGACTTCATCAAATCAGGCTTCTTAGTGATGTGGGCTCCACTTCAGAGGGAAAGCCTGCTGTTGAAGAGTGAATTTCATACAGTCCTTAGCTCAGGGCTTAGATTTGAACTTGGGAGGGAGACGGTCATAAGTCAGTGGTCTGACCTTTGATGGGAAGAAGAATCAGCCATTGCCCTTCCCTCTTTTCCTTCCTTCCTTAACCAGTATTTTGGGATGCCCGGTGCACGCCCCACACTGGGCTAGGTTGTGAGGCTATGAGCCTGAAGGACGGGCCTGACTTCACGAAGCTATGTCCCAGGGCAGGCGGCAGCGAACAGGACGTGGTCCCTGGATCACAAGGCTTCCAGGATGTAGGGGCTCCTGAGACACGAGGACTCTGGGGGTAGTTGGGGATCTGCTGTCCCCCACGTGAGTGGAGTGGGAAGTGGGAAGTGGCTGGGGGGGAGGAGGTAGAGCCAGATGGGTCCCGGACCGTGAAGGGGATGTTATGTCTGACCTTGATTTCCTTTTCTCCCTTAAATACGTGAAGTCCGTGTCCATCAGTCCAGAGCCCTGCCAGATCCTTGGTCCTGCGGAGTTTGACTTGCCCGTTTTTATTCCCTGTGCCAGAGGTGCTCCTGGACCCCTGTCGGACTTGGTGCCCGGCATCCACCTGCCAGGCTGTGTGTCAGCTCCAGGAGATGGGGCTGCAGACCCCGCAGCTGGTGCAGTGCAAAGCCTGCGACACGGAATTCTGCTCCGCCTGCAAAGCCAGCTGGCACCCTGGCCAGGGCTGCCCGGAGACCATGCCCATCACCTTCCTTCCCGGGGAGACCAGGTACGTTTGGGGCACAGACTGCAGGCCGGGAGAAGGAATCAGGCTTCTCCCTCAATGTGCCTCTGGGGAGGACAGGGTTCCACCCCGGTCAGTCTCCACGGTCAGTCTTCTCTTGGGTCTCATTCAGACCTGGATTTGTTTATTATTAAATTTTGAGAACTGATTATGTGCTTGGCACTGTGCCAGCCTCTGGAAATATAAAATTGCCTAAGAAACAGAGCACACTCTGCCCATCCAGAAAGGCAACCGTATGAACAGTCAGTTACTATGCAGGGTTTGAAGTCCTGTGATAACCTCAGTTCTGCCAAGACGACATTGTGCTGAAGATGATCCGAAATGGGGATGGGGGAGCAGAAATGAGGGGGCAGTGGTTAGAAACACCAGAAGGATCACCAAATACAGGCTCCTGGTGCCTGAGGCCAAGGGGGCCACATGTCCCTGAAATGGGGGCCTTGGCAGGAAGGATGCGGTAAACCACTATAGCGGTTTTGCCCTCCCATCCCTCGTCAGACCCTCAGCCTGGATGGCCAGGTGGACACCACAGCATCACTCTGTGTACCTTGAAATTTAGGTTGAAGCATAGCAACTGATAGTATTCAGCTGTTTTGTCCTCCAGTATCTGCAGTGGCATCTGGTTCAATCAGATAGAGGTGGCCCAGCGCCTGTTGAGGCCACTTCCTGGTGGAGTAAATCTCACCATCCACCTGAAGGTGTTACCAGCCTGTCTTCCTCTGTCCCCATCTGCTGCCCCCGCCCCTCTCACCACAGCTCGACCTGCCCAGGGACCCTCGTGGCAACGCCAGACACAATCCTGTCCCCTGCCGCCTGCACCTCTGTGCTGTGCCTGGAATGTCCCTTCTCCGCCATCCTGCTTTCCCTGGGGACTCTTTGCCACCCTCGAGGACATGGCTCATGTCCCCTCTTTTGTCAAGCTTCCCAGTTCCCGGGGCAGGGTTGGAGACCCATCCTCTGTGTCCCCCATGGAGATCGTCTGCATTGATGACAGCACCAGCCTTGTTGGCTGTTAGTTCATCTGTTTATGTGGCCAGCCCCTCCTCTAGGCTGAGCTCTTGTGTGTGTTTGGGCGTTGTCACCCCAAATCTCGGCATACAGCAGGCGCCGAAACGCTAGAATGATCACTTAACTTATACTTAGGGTCTTGATCCTTCATAATTTTGCGAGGAGAGCCACACTGCAAGTGTGACAGATTACACATAACCGGAAGAGCTGGATTTCCAGGCTGGGGAAGAAGCAGGTAGAGGACAGGTGGGGCTGTGCCCTTGTGAAGCAGTCGGGTGACTGTTTAAGAGAAGGCCCTGCTTAGTGAGTGAGGGGCTCCTCCCTTCCAAGAACCAGCGAAACCAGGAGTCAGGAAGAGCCGGTGTCCTGCTCTTGGGAGGGATGGAGAAGGGATCCATAAAACCTTCTTAAGGTGGAGGGTGGTGGGTGTTGGGAGCCTGACGACTTAGTATTTCTTCATCTATGGTGTTCTGATCTCATGGAGGTCATTGCCCAAAGACTGCAATCATGTCACAGTGGCACGACATATGTGTATATTAAATCATCCGTGATATACCTTAGAAAGAACAAGAACAAACAAAGTGAAAAAAATAAAATCAGGTTGTGCAACCTAAGAAACTGACACAAGGGCAATTTGAATAAGAACTCACAAATCTCATTTTGTGAAAATATAAAAAACAAAGATTTTAACCCCCCAAAAATCTGACTTTCTGGCTTATCCAGCCACGTGGAACTACAACCCCACCAGGAGACAGGTGTCTGGAGCTGGGCAGCAACCCCTTCTTTATCCAGGGTTTCTGGCATCTTTACTTTGCCACAGTCCTCACCACTCCCTCTTGTCTCCCTGGTCCCTGGGCTGACTGTCAACTACCATTTATAACTGAGGACACACTCGGTTATTTTCATATAACAGACTTTTTTTCCTTTAAGTTAAACCTTCCTTTAACCCCCATTCCCACCCACCACCTGACGAGGCCCACTCATTTATGTTGTGCGTTTGCCCCTTAAAGACATTAGACCATGTAAATTGTGATGAAACTGTCAAAAGATTCCTACCTGCCTTCACAAGTTTGAGTGTTTAGCAGTAGTTGTTACTAATAATCATTTTAAATATAATTCAGGTACCAGAAAATGTTTGAAAACTGTTGTCTATACCATATAATTTCCATGCCACAATGCACCAGAACTTACATATTTTAACTGTTTCCGCTTGAAAAGTCTCCCTGAGAGGCGCTTTCCACTCTCCACAAACGTGGCCTCTGTTCATGGCATTTCCTTCAAAATTAGTTTATGAGTCACATGAGAAAATTTGTTTCATTATTTTAAGGTCACACCTGGCTTTCAAACTAAAACAATGTTTTCCAACCTGATAGTCAACCTTAATCACAGGACTTGGTACCTCCTGACTTTTGCCCTTTGTTAGAAATCAAGCTCATTCCAGAAGGAGGCAGCTAGTGTCTGTGCATGGCTGGCCCCTGCCCGTCCCCATGGAGGCACCTGCACGTGTTATGACAACCCTGCTTCATTGTAAATCTCATTCTGTGCGGCCAGGCTGGTCCACAGTTTGCTTTTAAATTAGAGATGAATTTGAGCTACAGTTGTATTATCTTTCAGTAATACTATTACTAACAACTAGCATTTATTGAGTGATTACTATACCCGTGCTGGGTTCTATGTGCTCAGCACAGAGAAACTCTTTACATCTTCATCACCCGCTCCGAGACGGATGCAGTTTGCCTCATGTCTGCAGACGTGGAGACTGATAGTATGTACACAGCCCAGCCAGGGCTTGCATGTCTGTCTCCAGACCCCCTGACTACGAGGACATACTGCTTCCTTCCAGGTCATCTTACCTGGTCACCTTGTACTAGTGAACGAAACAAGACGCTATTAAGCTGGGGCATGTGCCCCACGGTGTAGGAGCCTCGAGCTTAGGAAAACCCTGAGACTGCAATTGTTTGGAAGCTTACTGATCCTCAGACAACCATGTAAAGTGATGACATAATTAAGGCTGACATTCACTATGATGCTTGTGGAAGATCCTTCAGCCAGAATTTACTCAGGATGCCAGAATTTGCTCACTTGTAGTGAATTTATACTCATGAATGCATTAGGTTCTGAAAAGACTGCTCATCCCAATGGGAAATCATTTTTCTCCTGGTGACGTTGAGTAGCTGCAGTGAGTTCAAACAGTACGTGCCCCATAATCAGCGATAACTGCCCTTGACGGCTTCTTTTTCCAGATGATTCCATATTTTTAGCTGTCTTTTAAGACGAATAGCATGGGATGGACATCGTTCTACAGTCAACCTAAAAAGATACCTAGGCTGTCTTTTTATGAGCAGCATAGAATCATTGCTGCCATTTACTGGGCACTTCACACAGGCCTGCACTGCCCTGTGCCCTTCACACATGCATAACCCCATCTGTCACACTCACACTGACCAGAAGGCTGGGCCTCAGAGAGGTTGCCACCCAGCCTGTGTGCAGACCAGCTGCACTTGGCCCCAAGCTTAAATGCCACCGTGCTCACCCCTGTGGGCCTGCTCAGACCTCTCAGGAAAACAATTTTGTACAGACAAGCCAAGTAGATCTTAATAAGCGATTAGTGTGTGTGTGTGTGTGTGTGTGTGTTTTAATATTTTTTTTTTCTGATAATGGCAAAAAACATACCATGTGTTATCAACCCTTAGGAAAGCATATACACTTATATGAATCAGGGCATAAAATTCGACCATAATCCCATTATTCAGAGACCTCCATTCTAAGCCTTTTGCCCTATTTTCTTTAGTTTGTCTGTGCACGTCTAAATTTAGACATGTGCTGATCTTGCTTTTTCTTTTCCCCAAGTCAAACTGGCTGCTTCACAGTTTTTCGGTGATTGTTTTCCACAGTTCAGGTCTCTTTGGTTTCAACATATTTCACAGGTGACCTCAGTCCCTCTAGTTGAGCTAGTGCTTCCAGGGTTAGCCTGTGCTGGCAGGTGTCTCCTGGCCCTCTGGCCCTCTGAGCACAGCCCTGATGCAGCTTCTCCCTCAGCAGCTCCACTTTCCAACTGGAGGAGGACGACGCGCCCATCAAACGCTGCCCCAAGTGCAAGGTCTACATCGAGCGGGATGAAGGGTGCGCACAGATGATGTGTAAGAACTGCAAGCACGCCTTCTGCTGGTACTGCCTCGAGTCCCTGGACGTGAGTACACGGCGGGGGCTTTGTGGGTCAGGCTGAAGCCGGAAGCGTGCGCCAGCCGCTTCACTGAAGTTACACTGTCAGGCGTTTTCTCTGTGCATATTTATGGTAATGTGAGCTCCCTGGATGCAGTGGTATCAAAAGATGGGAGTTTGTGCAGGCGCTCTGGGAGCGAAGGGTCAGCTCAGGCTGGGGTTCAGCCTGGGTGTTAAAGGGGTGGGTAGGATCTCAGCATCTCCCCACATCGGGGAGCTGAAACAACAGCTGTTGATCTCTCCGTGCTGGATGCTGGACATCTGAGATCAGCGCCGGCGTCATCAGATTCTGGACCCTCTTCCTGGTGTACAGACAGCCGCCTTCGCTGTGGCCTCACCTGGCAGAGAGAGGGAGGGAGCTCTGGACTCTCTTCCTGTTCCTATAAGGACATGAATCCCGTCACAGGGGCCACAGCCTCATGACATCCTCTGAACCTAAACACCTCCCAGCAGCCCCACCTCCAAACACCATCACACTATAGGTCAGGGCTTCAACACAGGGATTTTGGGGAATGCAAACAGTCCATAGCAGGGGCCGTTCCTGGAATAGCAAGGCTGATGGAGGCAGGGGACCGCGGGTGCTGGGCGCAGGGCAGTTACTTTAGTGACGCTCGTGTCACCTGCAGGGCAGAAGAACATACAGACTCTCTGCCGTCTGGCAGAATGGAAGTTTCTGGCCTCATATGGCCACCATCTCCCCAGTGTACCCTGTGCTGTCTCTGCTGTTTAGAATGATGTCTGGAGCATTAAGAAGTCTTTAGGGCCTTCAGAGGCTTTATGTGTATAGTTTCTTTATATATCATATATATAATTATATATATAGTCCAAATATATAGTCTCTATATATCATATATAGGCTATATATAGTCTCCCTGTATTACACATAATATATATATGTAATTTGCATTTTACTGTATTTCTTTTTTTTGAAAACTGATTATTAAATTATGTTATATTATCTAAAGTCTGGCCTGCAATTCACAATTTCTTATCAACTTTTCCTAAAGGGGGAAGGAAATGAAATGCCAATTTTACCTCGTGTTATCAAATCTCCTGGTAGATTTTTGGGGGAAGTATTAGAAATGGACAGACACAGATTTGCAGAGGGAGCATGGCTTCTGCTGTGACCTCCCCTGCTACCATGACCTCCCCGAGGTCTGTCCCCTTTGAGCCCAAAGCTGTTCTCTCTCTGCTCTGGTCTCTGGAGAGACACCCTCTCTGTCCGTCTGTGTGTCCGTCTGACTTGGCTCTAAAGCACAGTCCCCGCCGGCCAGAGGCCCCGTTGTGTCCTGGCTCTGCCCGGACCAGGGACAGAGGTAGCACAGGGCAATTTCCTCCTTGAAGGTCAGTGTCCTTGGGGTCAAGTGTGGCCTGTTTTCCTCTGTAGGTGATGAGCTGCTGAAAAGTGACCCTGTGACCACAGAAAACAGACCCTGAGGGACATGGGGTCTGCTCTGCAGCGGTCAATCAAGGACAGTAGCCGTGATTTAGGGCAAGTGTGTGAACGTGTGTCTGGAAGCAGCAGAGCTTCTGAGACGGAGGAGGGGCTTACACGGCCCCCTTCCCTCCTCTCGGGAATTTTCCTCTCCGAGCACCGGCTCCTGGGCACGTACACCTCCCGGAATTATCAGTCATCTTAGGGTGATTCTTTCCACTCTCGTCCTTGCCCCTGCCCCCTGCCAGGCCCCGCCGTCACCCGTGAGGCCCAGGACCGCAGTGCTTCTCTGCTGCCCCTGCGGGACCAACATTCACCGCTTACAAACAGAAGGGACCCGCTCACCTTCTATCGTTTTTGGAGGTGGTGGTAAATGGTCCCTATTTATGAAGTGATGCTTACGTGGGCTGAAGGTTAACCCTATCTGTGACTTGCGCTGCACAGCCCTGTTGTTTCATACGGACACTCTTTCTGTGAGAGGTGGAATGATTATTTCCTGACTTTAAGAAGCAGCCCAGGAAGGTTAACCATCTTTCCCCAAAGCACCGAAGGAGTGAGGAACACACTCGCCATCCACTCTCTGATCTTTCAGACCCTAAGACCCAACAGCTTGGGCACGACCAGTCTCTGTCAGCCAGAGTAGGACAGGAAGTCTCAAACCTTCTGTGGTGGAGCTGCTCTGAGGAATTCATTGTTATCTGCGAGCATCTGGTCCACTGTGCTCTCTTTCGCCAGCACCATTGTTTCTGCTTCCATCCAGAAGCTTGATGAGTCTCCTCTGAACAATGTAAGGGAAACATTCACTCTCACCACGCACCTAGGTTCCTGGCAGGCCCTGCGGTGGGTATACCCAAGGGCTTCATCCAGGAACTTAAAGTCATGATGAAATCACTTTTATATTGTAAAAGCATCTTGGAGTGCTTTTGTTAGAGAGAAGGCTTTTGTTTTGCTCAGGAAGTGTGCCGTGAGTGTTGGCAACTCAACTCCGCATGGAGGCCTGGGCTGCCAGGATGTTGCTGGCAAAATCCGTGACCTTGAGTGGCTGGTGACCTCCCGACTGAGAAGCCCCTAGTAGCACCAGGTCCTCGTGAGCAGTGCTACAAGATGGCTGGTGTGGAGTCCTCAGCAGCCCCTCCGGGGCGGGTCACTGGGTTTGGGGTGGGAGTGGGGTGTGGGCACAAATATGGAGAGTTAGCTGACCAGGCAGAGGGCAGATGTGGGAGACGGGTCACCTCCAGAGGACAGGACGTGGTCAAGAAGGATGTGGGCTGTACGTGGTCTGTGTCTGGCCGAGGCGGGGAACGTGACCAGGGTCTCTGTGCCGAGCTAGAGCTGGACCTCTGGCACGAGGACTAGTGCCCCCCAAACACTGGTCCAACAGCAGATGAGGGCCACGTGGGGCATCTGTGACCTGGGTACACCCTCCTCCCCTACCCGGAGTCAGGATCTGCGTTTCCCCAGGCGGCCCTGGGGACTGTAACGTGCAGTCCCCGGGTTTGTCCAGCTTTGCCAGGCGAGAGCCCTGAAGACTTTTCAGCTGGGTCACACAGAGCAGCTCAGCTTGTGTTTCAGAAAACAAATCCAAAGGCTGTTAGGCATCTACAGAGCAAGACTGTGAGAGGCAGCCTGGGAAAATGAGGCTTAAAGTGGGACGTTACTCTCCGTGGTGTGTGGGTGAAAGAAAACAATTAGGAGTTCGAGGAACAAAGAGTCTCCATGGACAGAAGTCATCAGAAATGGCCCCAGAGAGGACAAGCTCCAGCCAGAAGAGGCGTGCGTTCACCCGTGCCTGTGCTTCCTTGGACAGATGAGGGTCTAGGACAGGGGTGAGTTGGGGGATGGCAGTCTGGGCCCTCGCCACAACCCCCCAAAATCCAGGATTTCCTGATGCTCCAGCGTGTGTTCAGGCTCCACGAGGCCGACCTATAAAATCATCAGACTGGAGGCTCCCTGGGAGGACCCCCCAGCGGGGCCGCCAAGGGCCAAAGGACACCACCGTCACCGGCTCTGCCCGGCCCTCGGAGGAGTGACTTCCCGTCTCACATGCTGGGCCTTGTGCTTATTTCCCCTGTTCTCAAAAAGAGGCTCTGTTTACAGCCTCAGTTAAGTGAACAAACAGCGTCAGCCTCTCTTTTGTGCTGTTTACTGAGCTGGTCCTTTTTATGGACGATAGGAGAGAAAATGGCACCTCCTGTACATAGAGAAGCAGAGGGCTTTGTCCAGAAAACGCACTCCTGTACCTCGGTCACTGCTCGCTGAGGTTTGGGGGCCGCGCACTGAGCCGGAGATGTGGTGACAGAGGCTGACATCAGCTCAGGGTCCCAGCTCCAAGAACCTGACCGTCTGGTGAAGATTGTCAGGGGAAGGTGATTGGAGATGGAGGTGGGATGTGAGGACACCTGGAGGTGGTAGGGTGGGCAGGATGTTCCCTCGAGCTCTCTCTCACTTCTAGACAGTCCGAAGAACTGTTAGATGGAGGGTGGGTCTCCTCTTGAGCACTGAGAACATTTTCTTGGTCTGAGCTGAGAGGAAGGACTTTCAGGGCGAGGAGGATGGACCAGACATAAAGGAAGTCATTGCATCCCGGAATAATCCTGCCAGGGTGGCGGGAAGATGCACAGGCAGAGACTCGTGGGGAGTAAAGCCAGGGCTGGGGGCAGGTCGTGGAGCAGCAGGGGGCTCTGACCTACTTGTTCAGAAGTCCTGCATCAGCACAGAGTCCCTGAGCCCGGCGCGGGTGGGGGTGGGGGTGGGGGAGCCAGGCTGCGGCAGAGACCGAAGCTGGAGCAGGGCTCCCTCTAGTGGCCCGTGAGCAGTCTGTCGGGGATGCTCCACGGAGGATGGAGAGCCCGGGGACTCACAGGGACCAGGGGTGGCAACAGCCCCCTCCGGGTGTACGTTCTTCCTCTGCTGTCGTCCTCGTTCTCTCACATCCCCAATTAGAGCTTTAAAAAAAGAAACTGGGACCAGGCAGGACTCATTCACTGAACAGAGAGGACTGTCCCACCCACCCCTGTTCTTTCCCTTCCTTCTCAGGATGACTTCCTTCTGATCCATTATGATAAAGGGCCCTGCAGGAACAAGCTGGGTCATTCCAGGGCATCTGTCATCTGGCATCGGACACAGGTAGGAGGCCACTCACTCCGCACTCTAACCTCTGGGGGGAGAGGGGGAGAGAGAGAGTGTGTGTACACGTGTGTGGGGTTTCCAGGAGACTTGCCAGTTGGTCAAAGGTCTGTTATATAGAAAAACAGCTAGTAAATGGCGTTCCTGCCCGAATTTTTCCTAGACTAAGATTATGCTCTCAGTAGGCCTGATTCTTCAACATCAAGCTTTTGATTGCTTGCACCTACTCTTGACCTTGGTAATGACCCACTGTGCTTAGTCAATCCTTGCATGGCCTTTAATGGAAGAGCTTTCCATAGAGGCTCCCAGGTGAGCCAATTAGTCACAGAGAAGGGTAAGAGGGAAAGAATGGAAAGGTCCCTGGGTGGTGATGTCTGTGCAGCTGGTGCGGTTATTCATACTTTCAACACATATTTATTTCCTATTGTGTGCCTGGCAGTATTCTAGGAGCTGGGAATACTCCAGTGAATAAGATAGATGCATCCTTCTCTGATGGAACCCACATTCCACGTAGGGACAGATAATGTATATATATATGATGTGAGTTCAGCTATAGGGGAGGTGTGATTGGGGAGGGGTCTTTTAGATGGTGTGCCTGGGAAGCCTTGTTGGAGGCATTGCTTATGACTGAGCACTGAGTTTTGGGGAGCTGGCCATGGGAGTAGGTGGGACAAGGCAGAGGGGACAGTGCAGGCAGGGGGGACGGAGATGGGCTGATGGGCGGAACTATGGCATAAAGGTCCATGGGGACAGCAGGAGGCAGCAGTGGTCAGAGATGATCAGAGTTGACCCCATGGGCTTTGCAGGCTGAGGTGCGATATCGGGGTGTGCTCTGGACGCGGGGGGAGCCCACCGAGGGGAGCTGCAGGCAGGACTCAGGTGTGCGCCAGCTCCTGGGTGCGGGGAAGAGCCTTGATGGGCTCCGACCATTACCACATTGTCGGCATTTCTCAGCACAGCCTTGAAGCAGGCGGTCTGGGAGATGCAGGAACGGAGACTCAGGCAGTTTTGTGGGAATAGAAAGAGAGACCACCCATAAGTGTGCTTCTTCCGTGATCCTCCCTGCAGACCACGTGGCAGGGCTGATGAGCCCACAGGCGGCCGGACAGTAGACGGCCCTGGCTTTGCAGGCCATAAGGTCTCTGTTGCAACTATCAGCTCTGCCTGGTAGGGAAGCAGCTGCCGCAGACAGTAGGCCAAAAAAGGCCCGTGGCTGCATTCCAGGAAAACGCTTTAAACAATCAGGTGGTAGCATTGACTGTGGCAAAGGTTGCACAATTCTGAGTGCACTAAAAACCATCAAACTGTGCATTAAATAGGTGAGTTGCGAGGTATGTGAGTTATAGCTCCATACAGTTGTAAGAACCAAACTAAACAAAACGGACTGCGGACCGGATCTCCGACCTCGGCGTGGAGAGTGGATTTTAGCTGCATTTTATTTTGTCCTCCTGGCCAGTACGGCCAGCTCCAGTGCTCGCCCCTCCACCTCTGCTGTGTAAAAAAAGCACCCCAAACAACAGAAATAGACTCGCTCGCGGTTCTAGAGGCCAGGAGTCTGGAGTCGAGGTGTGGGCAGGGCTCCCTCGGAAACCGGTCGGAGGGCCCCGCCTGCCTCTTCCGGCCCCTGGTCACTCCCTGCAGTCCTAGCTCCCAGGTGCGCCTCTCCAGTACTTTATCTTTCTCTCTGCACATCTGTCTCTGTGTCCAAACTTCCCTTTGGATAAAGACAGCAGTCATAATGGATCAGGGCCCATCCTGGTGATGTCATTTTAACTTGATTCCCTCTGTAAAGGCCTTCTTTCTGCATAAGGAGCTGTCTCTCCATGTGGCCTGAGCTCCCTAAGAGCATGGCAAGCTTCCCAGGAGAGTGTGAGAGCTGTGGAGACTGTGTCACCCTGTCCAATAGCAAGGCTGGGCTGGGCGCTCACACCTCAGCCCTCGTGCCTGCTTATCCCCGGGAGTGAGTCACGTGTTCCTGGGGTCCTGGAACAGTTGCGGTTCCTGGTAACGGTCATTTAGAGAATGGGCCCTTGAGAAATGCAGAAGCCTGGACGGGGGTCCGTAGCCTCCCCTGTTTTTGAGGAAGGAGCCTGGGGGCACCTCCCACCAGCCTCTCTCAGCATCGTTGGTCGGCACCTGCCAGGGGCACCTGCTGAGTGCCAGCTCTGAGTCACCCCTGGAGCCACGTGGACAAAGGAAGCCCCCCCCACCCCGATCTCAGGCCCCTCTTGGTGCTGGTGGAATTGAACAAAGGCACTTGGGGTGCAGGGGTCTCTTCCTTGGGGTATGAGGAACCCTGGAGACACGCAGGGCTGTAGACAGATGTCCACACATTAGTGTTGGATTTGGGGTAAGCAATAGAATATGAGTGAGCAGTGTCAAAAGGAAAGTAAGGGAGTCACGAAAACTAGCAAAGTGTGTGACATATAAATCAGGAATGAAGGCCAGAGGCTTGGGAATTAGAGAGGGACATGGTGTGCAGTGGAAGAGCCCCGCCCAGAGCAGACGTTCGTGTGTGCAATCACAAGACCAATTTGCTCTTAAGCCTTCAGTTTTCATAGTTAGAACCACCTACCAGCACATGGTACAGAATCTCCATTACTGAAAGGAACTTTCACTCTCATAATTTGCTTTTAGAGGTAAAGCATCCACGTGGCAGCTGAGAAAGTCCTCCTTTCCCTTGTGAGTCTCCTGGCTTTCCATCCGATTGGTGGCCTCCATTCCCTTACCCCTCAAACGGGCTTCTGGTTCAGGGCATGTTCATCATCTGCTTCGTCAATGATCTGCGAGTGGCGTTTCACTTTGCATTTATCACCAAGTCTCTTAAGTAGAAATGCAGGCTTGATTATCTTCCATCAATTTACTCAGGAAAATTGCATTCAGTGTCTCCCTAGCACCCAGACGTCATAGTAGGCGCGGATGTCCAGGTGCTCTGGGACGGCGGGCAGGCCCCTGTTCCATGGCCCGACTCTGGGTCTCCCTCCACAGCCCTTCCTCTTTTTCTGCTCGTCACTCACTGGCCTTCGGGACGGAAGCCCCCAGCTGTGCTGTGTCCCTCTCCCTGGCCCCGCTGTGGCCCCGCTGTTGTCCTGGTCTTCATCATCCACCCCTCTCTCTCCCTGTCTTGTCCATGCCCAGCTCTGCATGTCCTAATTCTACCCCCTTCCCTGACCACACTGAGGGGTCACAACCTGGGCCTTCCTCCTGCCCTCGCGAACATCTCTGGAAACACATTTGTTGTGCGGCGCCCCCTGCCTTTCCCGGTGCTGTTCCAGCAATCAGCCATCGTGCGTAAGAGACAAGGGCGGCATTTCTTTCTCAGTCAAGTAAATCTTCCTTAGGATGCCAGCACCTGACAAGGGGGAATCTCACCCACACTGGCTCTTCCTTTTCTTCTGAGCAGGAGACCATCTCCCTGTAAAGAGAGAGCTCACTTTTAGCCCGAGGGTGGCATTTCACATGCGGCTGATTGCTGATGTCTGTGTTCACACTTGTTGGAGCTGTCCTCACTCAGCCCCCCCGAGGCCGGGCTACAGGGCAGGGGCCTCGCGCAGTGACCTGTTCTGAGGGTATTTTTCACTACGCTCAGGAAAATACACACAAGTTGTGTCTTGTACTTGAACTGGACGCCCAGTCCTCTCTGTCTTAAGTGCTGGGGCCTTTGGAACCGCTC